ACTTCCTGATATGCAAACTGAACTCTAAACATTATTAGCAATGATCTTGCGGACTGGCAAACTCTGGAAGTTGACGTCTGGAAGTTATCAGTGTTGGGAAACACTGGTCTGTAGTATGCTGACCTTACCTGTGACTATAAAAGGCTCCTGGAGGAGTTTACAAAGAGTTTACAAGGAATAAAAGGGAGGGAGAGTAACAGAGAAAGGCCAAGCATTCCCCCTCCCCCCACTTAATTTTCAGTTTTAACCATGGTAAGCCAGTTCTAATAGTTGGAGAGAATTGCTACCACTCAGATAGCAACTGGAAAAAGCAGAACACATCTTGCAGTCCAGCAGATAAAGGGAATTGATGTTTTCTTTTTCTCTGCTGTGCTGCTCGATAAAATGATTGACTTCTAAAGGTAGATTGGATGGGGTAAGGCAAGACTTCCAATAGCCACTCAGAAGCTGAGATACCTTAGAGGTTGATTCTGTGTACGGTGCAGGCATGGGGACAATCAACATTAACATGAAGCCCTTCTTATTCTTGCTTCAGAGCCTACTTAGATGTCAAAGAACTGAAGAATAGGCTCAACCTGGATGGCTCTACACATCTCAACATCTTCTTTGCCAATTCTTCTGAAGAAGAGTTGGCTGGCATGGCCACCTTCCCGTGGGACAAAGAAGCCTTGGTGCACTTGGGTAAGACCTTGGGAGAGTGGTGGCATCCATCTCTTTGTGGACACGCTGGATGCCTTCACGCACCAAGCCTAGACAGATCCAGAAAAGGTCTAGCTGTATTTGTACAACATGCCAAATGTGGTTAGTTTTAGTCTTGCTTTGGGGGGATGTGGGGAGGTTTAGTGTGCTGTGCAAGGCACAAAACATTTAAACAGCTTACGATCCACATAGTGTGCAAAATCATAACAATCGTTAACTCAGAAACCAAGTTAAGGATGTTGTGTGAACATTAAGAAGGAGGCTCTGGAATGTCATCAACTTTTGTTCTGATTTCTATTTTAAAAATCATTTCCAATAATAGCCTTAAATAGCCCAGAGGATTTTAAAAAGAAAACTGGGGTGGGGGTGTGTGTGTGGAAGGGGAGAGAGAGAGAGAGAGAGAGAGAGAGAGAGAATCAAGACAACAAAAATATTCATCATTCTCGACTTCCAGCCAGGAAAAAATTAGATTATAAACCCAAAGCATATTATGGTATTTCTCAAGTGATGTCAGCCCTGAAATAGCTTTTGTGCGTGTGTGTGAGTGAGTGAGTGAAGGGAAGGCATCTTCTCCTTGTATGTAATTTGCAAAGGTTTCGAGCAGATTCTTAAGCTGAGGGTTGGAATAGAATAGGGGAATGTATCCTGGTGATCTGTTTCTTAAAAAAAGAAACCTCTAAAAGGGAGGGCATCGAACACCTAAAATACTCAATTGAGACAACCCCCTCTTTTCTCAATGACAGGGAAATATTTGATAGCTGGGACAATCATCTGGGCTTGATTTCTTTCCATCGTGCCTTGCTTGTGAACTTCCCAGCAGCATTTTGTTAGAGGAGGAGAGCAGGAAAGGAGGAGAATTGGGACATGCCAGGAATTTCTTTCGCTTCCTCTCCCCGTCTTTTAATTTGATGGGGAAAATGGGTGGGGTGGAGTGTTTGCATTTACTTAATGAAGAAGCAGCCGGGACATGCACACGAATGTCCTGTCCTTTCGGTCCCAAGAGAAGAGACAATAAAGGAACTCACTGCCAAAGCAGAGGTAGGGAATAATAGTTGGAACTTTTCCCCCCTTGGAAAACTTGGAGAAGTTGTCTACCCATTTTATTTGCCCACAGATTGAATGAAGAATTCCAAAAGATCCTTTATGCCAATGTCTGTATGCTGCTTCCCAGGTTATGTTAAACTCCAAGATGAAATGCTCATGGTAATACCATGAGAAGCAAAACTCAGTCGGACAAACATATAATATTTTGCCTTGCCCTGGAGCCTCCACCCCCTGATTAATGCTTGGTGGCACCATAATTCATTAGAAGACATCCTCTTATGGAGAGAGACAGAGCTGAGCCGGGCAACTGGATGGGAGAAATAGCCTTGCAACTGCCAAAGAGGAAGGGAACATTTGAATTCCAATAACTGGATATTTGGACTAATTAGCATTAGGCTCTCTTGTAGCACCTCCTGCTGGATTTATCAGATGTCATGGTCTCATTGTCAGCTGCCTGTCCTGTCTTTTAAGGTTTAATGGTTGAATGCCAATTACATTGGCAGTCATGGTCCAAAGGGAGAGTCTCTTAACTGAGTTTACCTGTAATGGCAGCAATTCTAATTATTTTGCCAGCGGATTGAAGTCAACTCACGAGGAGGGAAGGGGAAAAAAAACAAGAGTAGGGAAAATTAATTTCCTGTTTACCCACCTTTGCTGCCCCCTTCTCGCTCAGAAAGATTCTGCATCATCTTTCCATATTTGTTCTCCCCACCAGTTCTCTAAATCCAATATATATTTAATAAGAAAATAAAATGAAAGATGTTATGTTGTCCAGATCTTAACTTTGGAATACATTATCATCTGGGCACAAAGAATAATCTCTCTCTTTCTCTCTTAAATGGAAAAACTGTAATTGATTTAGACCTTTGACAGCTGTGAAAAATATGAAGTCCCTTTCCTCTCCCCCCCAAAACACAACCCCCTCCCTCGAATAGGCTGAAGAATCAAACAACCTGCGCAGCTTCGTGGCCCTGATAAAGTTGAGCCAGCCTGTACTATGATTTTTATCTTCTCCGTTGAGGGAGATTTTTTCCCCCAATATCTCCAACAATCAGAAAGGAAGAGAAACAAAAGCAAAGCAAAACACCAGAACAAGAGAAAAAGTGGAGAAGACAGAGAAGAATTGTGCTTTGTGATGGATCTGTTGCAAAAACACCCATGTGGATTCTCTTTGGCTGGAAGCATATTTCCAAGCTGCTGCATCTAGGAATTGGGTCCGTAGGTTGGCTGACTGGGCTGCAGCAAAGATGCTTCTGACGCCTCTTGAGGTCCCCCATCCCTAATTCTCCTCCTCTTCCTCTTCTCTGTTGATGTATGTTCTTCCTTGCTTCCAAGCCTGCAAGCAAGAAAATAACAAGGAGGTTTCATTGGCCTTCCTTTCTGGTTCTGAGTGGTAGCATCGATTAGGGCTCCAGGGAGCAAGCAGCAAGAGCTGGGGGTCCACAGAATGCATCTTGTCCAAATCTCTTTCCCCCACCAAAAGGAAGTTGGTTGCTAATGCCGTTGGTATGCCTCCAGCAGTGATGTCATGCAAGTGTTGTATCTCTATGTTCTTTTCTCTCATGTTTCTGTCCATGCAGGAGGCATTGTCCTGAATCCTTCCTTCTATGGCATTGCGGGTCACACTCACACCATGATCCATGAAGTAGGACACAGCCTGGGCCTCTACCATGTCTTTAAGGGGGTCTCTGAGATCTTCTCTTGCAGCGACCCATGCATGGAAACGGAGCCATCCTTTGAGACGGGTGATCTCTGCCCCGACACCAACCCTACCCCGACCCACAAGATCTGTGGGGATCCCCCTGCTAGCAGTGACATGTGTGGGTTCCATAGCTTCCAGAATACACCATTCAACAACTTCATGAGCTACGCAGGTAACAGCTATTTTCTGCTGAAATGCTTTGTTGATTGTAAACTTTAAACAGTCTTGCACAACTTTTGTAAGGGTTTTTTCCGCCCTAGGACTCAAAGTTGCCTTCAAGTAGTGGATGGGGCCTGTACCAAAGCTCCATTTGATGTATATATAAATTTAATTAAATTGAAGGCCGTTTGTGCAATTTTCTTGTTACTCCTTATTCATTTTTTTCCCTTCCTTCAGTCACCTTAAATATGACTGAAATATGTCAGCTGGTGGAGGGGGCTTGGAAGGAGCACACCCAAATCTTTTAGAAAGGGCTCAGCAGATTAGATAGCTCCATTTCAGCATAACAAAATCTCTTACCTGAACCCCTAATTTGGGGAGCAAGAATAACACATGGCAAGTCGTATTCCAAGCAATCTGAGTTCAGGCTTTTCTAGCATATGGGGTGTAGCTTTGGGACAACGGGACAAACAGTGGATGACACCAGCACTCATGATTTTCCTACAGTGAAGCGAGCAGGAAAAATGAGTTAGAGGCTAGGCTGGTTTGGATTACGCACAGTCCAGTTTTGCTCAGAGAAATCTGGTTTTACCAGTTTCTAAAAGCAAAGCAGAGAATAACTTTTGCAACCAATGAAACAAACCAGTTGACAGCAGCTCTCTTTGGAGCTGAACCCAATGTTCTCAGAAGACTTTTCTTTCCCCTTGTGAAAATGATTGCTTCTTTAATGTTCATCCCCACCCTGGAAAAAAGGACAACATGTTGTTGAATTTTCTCTAAACCTCCTCCTGGTTGGTTGGTTTTGTAATAGCCACCATTCCTTTTTCTACCTATAGTGGAAGCAAAGGGTGGACAATACTACCATAATTCATTGCAGTCACAGCAAGTGGCAGCATGTCACTAATCCAGGCTGACCTCAAAAAAAGCTAAGCTGGGTCAGACCTGGTTATTTCTTGAATGGAAAATCCCTAGGAAACCTCAGCACTGTGGTCTAGACTGGGAAGATGAAAATAATACCTCGGAAGAAAACAGGGTTGCCAGAATAATAACATGGACATGCCTGTGAAGTCTTCAGGAGCGCAACTCAGCTCAAAGAGGGCTTTATAGACCAGCTGAGAAGCAGCACTTAGTTAACTTTGGCTGGGTACAGAAAGCTGCTGGTAATACATGGATAGGAAACTGCTGGGAAATCCTGTTTTTATAATGCCCTAACTCTCTCTCTCTCTCTCTCTCTCTCTCCTGTTTTTGGGTGGTGTGCACCACTTTAGATGATGACTGCACCAATTCCTTCACACCCAACCAGGTTGCCCGTATGCACTGCTATTTAGACCTGGTGTATCAGAGCTGGCAGCCTATCAAGAAGCCAGCCCCCATTGCCATCATGCCTCAGATTGTGGACCGAACAGCAACCTCTGTTACTTTGGAGTGGTTTCCACCAATTGACAGGCACTTCTTTGAAAGGTGAATGGGTGGGACAACGTGTTTCTGTTGGACTGGCTTTGGAAGGTGTGCTCAGGAAGCTGGCAATGACATGGGACCAATGAGTTGAATGTTGTTGGATAGCTGTTCCCCCCTTCTTTTTTTGTGTGTACATTTAATTAGGGAGCAGTGCATACTAAAATGAGTATCTTAGGAGAAAATGCACTTTTTAACACACGCGCACACTGTTGAAGAAGGAAGAACAGAGCAGAACTGAACACATCTTTATTCAGTCAATGACCAGCAAATTTAAGAGAACAGTGACAGAATAAAACAAATTAATAGAACAATATACTAAAAGATCACATAATAATATTATATTCACTCTTCTATAACCATATTAATACATTAATTACCCAAGTAATAATGTTTAAAAACTAAAAACTATGATTCAGAGTAAACATCCTCTAGCAACTTATTTATTAAGAAATACTGATCCAAACGCGATATTAAGAGTAAAAATAAAAATGATCTTCTTAAACCAATTACTTCTTTAATCATTTTTGCCTTATATTCATTGCAGCAACCCAAAATTTAGCTACTGAAGAGTGAACAAGTTTAAGATCAAAAAGGGAAGGAGGCCAAAAAATTAGAAATAAAGAGGAACGGATGTTGTCCATCCTTGCTGTTCTGCCACATAGTCAAAGATTGAAGATAGGTTGTTACTCGTGATGATCCCATCATGTTTCAACCTATTCAAAGGTTGGGTTTCTACAGCAGCTATTTCAATAGGTTATGAACCCCTGTGAATTAGAATATGAGATGGGCACCATAGGAAACTCAGCCAGCACATCCTGAAGAAATCCGTTGAGAAATTTCTCGCATGAACTGTAGGCTTCATTCTGACCTCCCCCTTTCTTTTTGCCTCACATTCAGACATAGCACCATCTCCCATCTGGCACTTTCCAAAATGATAAATGAAGCCCGTGCAATATGCATTCAATTTATATTTCATAAGGTGGTTATTGTACATGAAATAAATTCAATCTGTCTATTAAAAAACATTCTGATCGAAGGCTAATTGTTGTGTAATGAAAGACACCAGCCCTGACATACCTCTTCAGCCTCCATCAGTCTGTTTTTATTAAGCCACAGTGAATTGATACTTAAATGACATCCCGTTGCCAGCCAGTTTGATCTAAGATTTCATAACAAAAACCTTAAATCAACACTCAATTTCTTCTACAGACCCTTCCATCAGGGGTTCATTTTTGTTGAGCAGGTATAAGTTGGGGATATCGAAGGAAACATTGTCCTAGAATTACGTCATCGTTTTCTGAGTTTTTCAAATCTTGGATAAATAAATCTGGCAGTGACTTTCTCCCTGAAGACAGAAGGGAGGAATTGCTTAATTTTTGAATTATAACTGGCCCTTTTGTTAGTTCCTGGAAATTTATTGTTAATCTCAGATGGTGATTCATATGCATTTAAAATTTGGATTAGGAGAACATGCAACTAAAAACCCAATCTTAGATGGTCATTAGGGAGGTAATAGTTCTAGGGAATTTTACCTTATTGATTACAATGCAGATTGACCTAATCTGCATCTTTGGATTTATGTACCTCTTTGAAATTAACCATCTACTACCTTTAATTTTCCCAACAATTCAGACCAGCTTTGGACTGGAAAGTGTGTGTCTGTATGTGTACATGTGTGCATTTTAAGGATGAGAACAGCCTCCAGGAACTAGTGTGGTATAGTGGTGAATGTGTTGGACTAATACTGGGAAGATCAAGAATCAAGTCCATTCTCGTCTCTTTCCAGATGTTGGTTGGTGGTTTCACTATTTCCAACCAAGTACCATTAGGCCAGTCCCTCTCTCAGCCCAACCTACTCCACATATAGTTGCTATTCTGAGGATAAAAATGAAGATTCCCTCCCCCCGCCCCGCCCCAGATACACTTCAAAAGAGAAAAGGGTGCTATGTAGCACCTTGGAAGACAGGTGTACATATGAGGTGGACTTCAGTCAAATAGTTGTAGGTAGGGCAGATGTATGGGAAAGGAAACCCAAATGCAGCAGAACTAGCTTTTCCATCACGTTGCAGTTAGTGAGTTAATACATACGACCATCTAAGAGGATTAGGGTCTAAAATTAGCTAATTGTACCACCTAAATCAAGCTACTAATAGATGTTTTTATTTAGATCCAAAGACTAGTGCTGCTCCAGGCATGCAACACCCTATATGTGTTGTAATGATGGATGTTCTGCTGGTTTTGAATAAGTAAAAGAATAGACCAGGAAGCTTGGAAGAATGGGGACTGGATCTGGAGGACAGAAAGTCCATTCATTTCTTGACTGCATCAAAGAACCCTTTTTAATCTTGTTATCCCCAAGCCACAGATTTTGCAACAGCATTGCTCAATCTGTGATTAGGCTGATACAGATGGATATGGTGGACTGAGCAGCCCACAACCCCACTGGAGATTTAAAACAACAACAGCAACTTGGGCTGCATCCCCAACCTGCTTTCCAGTAGGGCACTGGCATTATATCTGTCACTCACTCACTCAATCCCTTTCTTCTTCTTCCTTCTTCCAGGGGAATAGTACAGATTTTCTGATTCAAGGAGGTGATTGGGCAGAGAGTTGACATAGCTTTCACTTTCCTATACTGATTTCTATCTCTCTCAGGGAGAGGGAGGTGGAAACCTGAGTAGCGAGAGCAATGTTTTCTCTCTGAAGCTGATCATCAGCAAGATGTGCCCATGTTTAGAAGGTGATTCACTGAACGGCCACAAATGCATCCTTTGCAGAGGAGTGATTTTTTAAAAAAGCTACTTACACAGCTGAGCAAATTGGTTAGTTGCCTTTAGTGATATTCCACGATGAATATCATTCAACCTCTCTATACTTGCCAAGAAAGGGTGGGGTGGGGAGGTGCCTTCCTTGTTTGGGGATTGTGACCCAATTTACTTCAACTGAGTAGTAACTAAAAGATTAAACCTCTCAAGGGACAGTCACAACTAGAGGCAGGGTTCATGTGTCATTTGTGGTTAGCATATTGTTAACTGTGAGCTGAGGATTATAGCTTAGTGCATGGACTTCCAAACCTCAGTAAATCATAGTTAAGTAAACCATGGAATCAGCAAGCCACCTTGTCCCTTTTTTGTTCTGAGGAAGGAAGGAAGGAGGGAAGGAGGGAGGGAAGGAAGGAAGAAAAGCAGGCATGAATGAATAAATGAATGAAAATGATTGAATGAATGTTCCTTTCAACTGTTACTAAGTTGGAGCAATCCCTTTTTTATTTCCTGGCCACCTAGAGAAGTGGGACCACCATGTGACCTGTGTGGGGAAGAACGGATTTTGGTGCAATATGCTTTTCGTGCCTCTTCACCGATGCCGTGTGACCCGTCAGGCCACTGGAGCCCCCGAGGAGCTGAAGGTCAGCCTCAAGTGACAAACAGCACAAGGGTGGGATGGAGGAAGCGAAACATTGTGGGAAGATGTGGGCATGAAAATACACTAAGGTGCTCTAACCGTTCCTGAAAATAAATGTTGGAAACCTATTCAGACAGCATGATTAATATAAAGGAAGGGGGATGAATTGAATGAAGAGAAAGCAAAAATGATGCAATCAGTACAGGAACAATGAAGGATGAGTAATAGATTTGTAATAATGTTTGGAGCCCTTTTTTCTCCTTGATCCTCCTCTTGGCCATATTAGTAATCAAGATCTATCCCCACCCCCGTTTAAATAGGAGGATGTTTGCTCACGCTATTTCTTCTGGACTTGCTTAGGACTTGGACTAAGAATGGGAGATTTTAACCCGGTTAACAGCTCAACCTATATGAAAAATGCAGAATTCTCAGGGGGAAAGGAATCTATCCTTCCTCCAATTGTTCACCCCAAAGACATTTCAATGCCTTTCATTTGTTTGAAACAAAACAAGCATTGATTGGAGAGGAAAATGGAAGCTTTCTTCCACTTTGATGATGGAATATCATCTCCCACCACATTCAAGGCAGTGTCATCTCAAGCAAGCCCTTCCCTTTGGCTAATGGTTGAACTGTCCCTTACCACCACCTCCTCCTTCTTCTTCCTCCTCTCCTTCTCTAAAAGGTTTCCCAAAATACTGAATCACTATTAAGAACCTACAACAAGGAGCACCTTTCAAGAAGTTGGGTGGCTTTGCCTGTCTTGATTTGATTCGGTGTGGAGAAGAAGACAGAGCTGCAGACCTTCTGTTGGCTTGAGCACCTTGGCAGGATTTCAGTAGCATGCCAAGGGTGACCCTCCCAAAGTGGGCACAGGCCGGCCCCGTCTGGGGAATAGTTCCATGAATCTTAACAGGTGAAATGGATGCCTTAAGCAACCTACAAACAACCTCATAAACAACCCCAAGTATGTATTAAAAAGTCCCCAACATTTTGGCATCCTGCCCACCTTGGAGGTCACCCTGTGTGTACTCCTGAAGTAAAATGTGCAGGTTTATTCAATATCAGCCCTAGATTTTTTGGACAGTGTACAAAAGGGGACGCCCCTCTGTCAGCCTGGGGCTTTTTCCAGGCAGCTCAGAATTTTCTCCCCTCTTCTCCAGCTTCCCAAAAGAAGAGTCACTCCACAGGAGCTGAGCAAGCATTGCTAGGAAGAAAGCTGTGTTTGGATCTGATAGATCAATAAAATTTGCATGGTGAACGAGAGCAAGAGGGCTGGGCAGAAGAGGCCAAAGTTGTCCCAGTCCCGATGACAGGGAATCAATGACATTGGTTTGTGAATCAGAAGGAGTTGTTTATGGGAGCCTGAAGAATGGTTTTTCAGTGTAACGAAGGGGGCTGGGGTTTGGAGGGTGTGTTTTGCATTGGGGGTTCTCATGCTGCTCCTGTGCTGAAATCCAGATTCCCCAGTTTTCTTCCCTTGTGAACGCTGCCACTTCCTCACATGGCAACACATTGATGTAAGGGTTGTTTTGGGAAAGGAAGAGGCAGATCTGCACCCAAGAAAGCTGGAAATGACTCTTCCCTCTTTTCAATGGCTCCCACTGCTTAAACTATAGAAGAGCTCATATGCACATTCTGCTCCTGACCCAAGAGACACCAGTTGGATAATGCCCTACCAGTTCTCTGACGCAAAGCACATCTGTGAATTGGGAAAGCATTTCTTCACCTGGCTACCAGTCACTGGACTGATGGTCAGCCCCAAGCCTGTGTGGGCAAAAGCATAACATGGCACCCTCCAAGATAAAGAGAACCGGGTGGTGCCTTTATAGCACAGGCCGATTAAACTTTGGTGAAAAGTCTTATGTCTTAGAAGTTCTAAGGTCTCTTTCTTGGAGAAAAGAAGTCCTCTTTCCTCCAAGAAAGAGATTAACCAAGGGGCAGGGATCCAGCGGTTTGCCAGCTCAGAATGGGAAAGGAGCAGGAAAACGGGAGGAAGCATTAGCTTTTGCAAGACAGGCAAGTATTGTACCAGTTCCCACTGCTGATGGTGGTAAGGCTTACATGATGTAGTGTTTGGAGATACACATAACAGGCATGATACACACAGGATATAAATTTAATAATAAAAATAAAAATGATATAATATATGGAGATACATATAGCAAACTAGCACATCTGGAGAATTTGCTTGGGCTTTTTGGCTGGTTTTCCATCTGCAGGGGGGGTTTTGTACAGAGAAGCATTCTGCGGAATAATCTTCTCCCCGGCTTCCTGACATAGTACAGCCCTGCACAGACTGAACTTCTGAGGGTGAACTAGTCTAACTTATTTCTGAGCGAGCTTTAGGAAGAGAGTTTAAATCTGATTTAATGGCGTTACGGGGCTGTCCACACTTGATGCAGCAGGGCTAGGATAGAAAACGTGTGATGCACGGGCCATGTGCAGCTTATAATTTCATATGGGTGGCAAGGGGGAGAAGATAAATGGAAAGTGAGAGAGGAGATGTGGTGGGACAGAAAGATGTAGTCAACTCTTGCTGCGTTCACCATTTGATCTGCCTCTATCAGTTACTTGCCGGGACTCCTGATTGCCATTTGCCATGAGTTAAAAACTCTATAGGGAGGGGAAAAGCTTCTCCCCTTTCATTTGATTGAATCAATTAATTGGTTAACATCCTTTTATTTGTTTGCTATTTTAAAAACTACCCCCCTCTCCCCATTAACAGCAGGCTACTTTGAGTGCTTGCTCACAAGTAAAAAAGGATGGAGTCATGCCTCAGTTGCCTACTCTGTCCCTTTCTTCCCTGATCTTGCCATGTTCACTTGCACAAGAGTAGGGCTTTCTGGATAATCAGGGAACCTGAAGGGTTCCCCCCATGTTAAATGAGTGCTGGTTGAAATCCCACTTCAGGTCTTACTCAACACTGGAAGATCATAGGCTGAATGGATCAGGACAGCATGTCTCTTTATGTGTGAATAAATCCCTTGATTGGGCTAAACCTGTTACAGGTGTAAAGTTACCTCTTCTCTCTATTACTCAACCTTACTGG